AGCCTGCTTCTGCTCTAGCATGGCGCTATCGCCCGATCACTGGCGTCCGTCGTTAGCACGAACTCTCCAATGTCTGCCGGCGCGGCTAGCAACACACACTCGGCCACCGACTTCTTGATACTCTGGAACTCCTCCTCTCGTGCCTCACTCCAAACAAACTCAGTCTTCTTTTTGAGCAAGTCAATCATGCCAGCAACTCTACTCGCGAACTATGGAATATGCCTCTTGAGGTAAGTCACAGAACCCAAGAACGACCTCAGTTCTCTTACGTTTCACGGAGCTTCCACTCTCATCAGGTCCGCCACCTTCTTCGGGTCCGGCTTGATGCCTTCCTCGCTTACAATGAACCCTAACAGCTTTGCTTCCTGCTTCACGTATTCACCCTGGGGTACATTCCAAAAGCCATGATTACAGTCTAGACACACATAATACTTGTGACCGGCCGCTACCTGCAGTTGCTCCCACAGCAACGGTATCGGGTAGGCCTTCAACGTCATCCCCTTGTTCAACGCTCGGTAGTCGATACAGATTCTCCACTCACCAGTTTTCTTACGTACAAACACCGGTCTCGCTCCCCACGAGGAATTACTAGGTTGTATCACACCCATGCTCAACATGTCGTCTATCTGCTTATCTAGTTCCTCTCGTAATTCTGGTCTTAACGGCTTCAACGTATGCTTCACCGGCTTCCCGTCTACTTCGAACTCCACGCTATGCCGTGTTCTGCCTGTCCTTGGCCGCAACCAACACTTCGAATGTTTTTGTAACAAACCCCAAAGCCTCTCTCTAACAACACCTTCCAGATGAGACGTCATATCTGTTATCAGTTGCTTCGCAACCGCCAACAAGTCTTGGTCTGACTTCTCCTCCACCAGTGACACCGCATTGACCTTGTAACAGCTCTCCACATGGAACTGGCACTTACATGCATCGAAGATACCCAGTGCAATCATGTCTGGTACGCCCAATATCAGCTCATCGTCCTTGAGTTCCTCGCTGGAATACAGCACAGTCTCCATCCGGCGGTCTTTTGTAGCCAACGACGCCTTGAACAACGTCACCTGTTTCCTAGTAAACAAGCC